TCTGAGCCCTAAAATGTCTCCACCACATTTGAACACAAAGTGACGCCCTTGCCCACCTGTAACTGTCACTGGCTGTTAAAGTCTTTGCGTTGCTGATAACACACAGCCTAAGCAGTCCTTCAGAATGCTCTCTATTACATGTACATGCATACTGTATGTATTAGTGAGTGTAGTGGCGCTTACGGGACGTCACGCTGGGACGGGGGAGTATGAGACTGGGAGGGAAAAATCACAGTACACTCACTAGAAAAAACTAGATTACAATTTCTCTAAAATATACCAGGCGAATGTCCATATTTTGACCATATTCACTGTTTAAATGTTCAGTTTTATTGTGAGTTTTCTTCAAAACACTATTTCTCTCCATACAACCACGTTCCAAGTAACATAAAGCTTCCAAAACATTGAAGTATTGATGAAAACAGTGAATATTGATCAAGATTTCTGTGACCAAAAGCACTCCCATGCTTTACAGGCCCACAACTTGAGAGCAGAACATCCTACAGGGCTCTTTCTCTTCGTATTGAAGAGACGAAACGTATATTGGATATCTGTGTAGCTCCTACGAGTTGGCCAGTAGAGGCCGAAAAAGACTGTCTGTTCCAAAGCAGCACTTCTTCTCTCCTTCATTCTGAGAGAGAAACAAAACCTTAGAGCTCAGGGGGATTGCACAATACCAAGATGGCGGCCCAGGCGATCTTTTACACTCAGAAAACAGCTGTTTTTGGACTGAAAACAGCAAAAATGGCAAATGGCAAAAGTAAATCAGCGGCAGCTGACAGCTTATTAACTACTGTAAGTCAACACCAACTGCAGACTCTTAAACCCAGTGTAACGTTAAATTAAGCATAGCATTAGTTCAGGCAGGCAATGCTCATTCCAGCATATCAGCTGACAGCTCAGCTGATTCCTCTCTTAGCATTCATTGGCAAATTCCAGACAAGGCACCTATTTAAGCTGCTGTAGCCTATCTGCCTGTCCTCGCTGCTTCCTATGCAAAAGCTCATAACCCACTGCCACCCCTGCTCCACCTTTCAGGATGTGTCTGATACGGATGCTCAAAAATCATCGATCCGATAAGTATTGGCCAATCGGGCATATCTCATTATCGTAAGCATACTGGGGAACTAATTTGGCCGAATAGAACCAAACATGCTAACATGCACCACCGCACTGTTGCACTGCGGGCGTCATGTCGCTGTGCGCGGATGGAGCCACACAGATGCAGTTTAGGCAGCTAGCTCCTGTCCCCCTTCCCTCTGCCTCTGCGTGATTCACTGCAGATAACAATGTGCAGATTGAAGCTACTTGGCAATCTAAGCTTAACAGTTAGACTACAGACAGCTTTCATTTAGCATTAGCGCAGTGTGGTTTTAATAACATAGAGGATGAGATGTTGGTTGGAGACGTGGTCAGAGCGGATCAATTAACCCCTTCTACATTTTATGGATATATCGACAAAGTTGTCTTTTACTCTTGATGTTTTGTTGCATGCTGCAGTGGCTTGGGGTTACCTTCACTTCAATGTGTCCACGACCTATCTCTGCACTTGTCACTGCGGGCTCACACGCACAGAGCAGCAGAGGCTGCATCCTGATAATAAATAGTACGGTCTTCAGTGGCTTTCCACATTTGGAGATCCCAGAACAGAGCCGTACCGCCAAATATAACTCGGCAAAAGTTCCTGACTGAACTAAATAAAACTGTAACGTTACATGATCAACAACAACTCTGTAACTTGTTTTTCACAGAGCACAACGATGTAATGTGCAATACAATCAATGACAGCTTATAAACAACTGTAAGTCACCACATTCCCAAGACTCTCAAACCAGTGTAGCGTTATAACTAAATAAAACTGTAACATCACATGATCAACAATAACCTGCAGCCACCGTTAATAATTAACATGATGGCAGCCAGCCAATGTAAATGATTACGTTACCACCACAAGTTTGGCAAGTAAATAAACACTCATTCATCTTTTCATAACACAGTTGGAGTTAACCTCCGGTAGGTCATAGCTAAAGTAAGAAGCAAGCTAACGTTAGATGGCCAAAAATCTTTACTAACCTCAGGTTACCAAACTATTTTGCATTCAGCACTTGTTTATTTGGGTCTTGTTGTATGAAGTTTTAAAGCCAAAGTTTATGATGAATGGCACAGGAGCTGCTGGTGTTTGTTGGCCTCTCTCACGTGTGGCCGCACGCAGCTGATAGCTACTACGTGTAGGTAGGTTATAGGAAACGGAGGGAGGGGAATAACAGTGAGCTCATCAGATGTTTCCTAAAAATAAATGTTCACAAGTCCCGCACCTCAAGTCTGAATCAAGTCTGAAGTCTTTTGAGGACGAGTCTCAAGTCACTGTTTGTGCTACTTAAGTCGGACTCGAGTCCGAGTACCCATCTCTGTTTGGTGTGGATAAAAATGGTTGGTTTGAGATGCTAGCTGAGCCTCCTAGCTTCACGGAGGTATGTGGCATACATAGGGTGACAAACTACTAGGACAAACTACTCGTCCATGGATTTCCCATTGGCATTTTGAGGCGAAAATCGATCTACCTACCTGATACTGGGCAGGTCCGTGCTGCACTGAAATTGATCATTCTAATAATACTTACAATGGGCAAGAAAGTCAGATGATCAGAAAGGTTCAAACTTATTCAGATGAGAAAACAAAGGCAAACTGTAAAATTATTACCCAAACTGTCCAGTGTCTAACCTTGGTGTTAATTGTACTTGCTGTAATTGTGTGGACATAGTTTTCCTGTGCAATAAAGGATTATTACCGGGGTAAACCAGGGCTGCTAACTTTTATTTGACCTTCAAATAAAGTGGTTTAGATAATCTGACCAAATGTTGGCTTGTTCACAACTTGCATGAATAAATGTGTTGCATGTCTCATCTGACTTGGTTCTCGTGACGTTACCTTGTTCTGAGATATCAGCTATTACTTTGTTAACTTCACAGTATTCTTGACCAGTAGAAATGCTGAGTTAGCCTATGAAAATATGATCCATGTTGTAATTATAATCAATCTATAATTATCCTTTAAGACCAGACAAGAGTTCCAAAAATATAATTGTGGTCTATTTATATCCTGTCAGAATTTCCACTGGTGTTTCTCAGGGGCACTAATTTTACACTTTAAGTTGAATTCACTTGCCATAAGGTGTACAACTCTGCCTGCGCATGCAGTTATATAATGCCTTCTGTGGCTCTGGAGGACCTTTCTGTAGTCTGTGTTAGAAAGTGCAATATTAAATCACTGGATTGCACCTGGATGTGCCACCTGCATATATTAGTATTTTGACATAAATAGTAAATAAACAATCAGAGAAACGGTACATTGTCTGAATAAACACTGCACTGATTAATTATGTGTGACCTCTGCAGTTAAATTATTGGTGTTACATTAGGATATATATTGTTTGTTTTTTAAAATCTTGCTCAATTGTTCAGTTGTTTAGTATAAAAAATGCCCATCACAATTTTCCACAGCACATAGTGATGTCATCAAATTGCATGCTCTGACCCAAACAACCGAAGTATGGTCAGTTTACAATGAACTGAATCAGAGAAAAAAAGTTTTATCCTGAAAGGCTGAAGTGGTGTAATGTATCTAGACTTCTTCCCTGATGTCGAGCTACATATACAGAATATGTCATGAAACTTAAAGGGGACCAATTGTGTTAATTTCCAGCTCTGTATAGTTATCCTAGAACCCCACTAGAGTAGCTGTGTATGATTCACAGTTCAAATAATTCTACTGGCCCTTTATGCAGCCCCTGAGTACATCCTCGGTCTGAAACATGCCATTTTAGCTCCTGTCTCTTTAAGGCCCCCCTCCCTTAAAGCCAACTCTCTTCTGATTGGCCAACTTCCAGGAAGCCTACCAATCCCCCAATCTGGGGCCCAATCTCAATGTCCACACTCACAGACTCAGACTTTGAGGCGCGTTTGCAGTGAGTCCGTGAGGGCTTAGGGCTGTCCCAATGTCAAATCATTAGCCCGTCTCTCACAGACATTTTGAGCCCTTTATGCACCCTTTTCGTAATTTCTGCAGACTTTGCCTGAGGGAACTGCCCACAGTTCAAAGCGTTGTTACGTGAAACACGGGGGGGTAACCAGGGGAAGCCCGGAAGTTGTAAGGCAGGAGCCTGCAAGACGTATAAATCGGTCGCTTAAGTGCCTTGGCCGAGAAGAACATGTTTCAGCGTCGTCGAGGTAACGTGATAAGCCCTTTTGCACTCAATAACTTACCAGTTGGCGTCAATTAATGGTGCGTTCAATTTATTTCAGAAGTCGGAGCTGGGAATGATGTCACGCCCGAGTTGACCGCATTCCAGTTAACTAGTCAGAAATATTCGCTCAGTCATTGTTTACATCTAGCTAACTAAAATGTATTATGCACATATATTATACACCACAGCGGTATTTCCCCATACTAAACATAGTAGCAACACTGTGGACACAGTGGACAGTACATTGTGTACAAAGATTTATATGAGACACAAATACACAGAAGTGCTAATAAACAGTATAAAGTACAGCTTTCACTAACAGTTGCTACACGGAGCAACCATCTTGGATCTCAAAGTAGGGGTTAGAGCGCTTCTCCTGACTTTCCAAGTAAATCTGAAAATCTGACTTAAGGGGGGCCATAAGTCTGTGGGGGGGATCAGGGTTTAGGGTGGAGCTTGGGAATGGGCCCCAGTGTTGTGAGCAAGCCCCTGGGAAGCGCGCCAAACTGTGAAATGACAACTTCTGGGTCAGGCATGTGATGCACACTGGCCCCAAAAGACTTTTCCCCATAGACATGGTGAAAGACAAACGATGATAATTATCTATGAGAGTCTCAACCCCTGCAAAATGACTTGAAATGAAGAGCTGCATGTTATTTTATCCAGAGAAGTCTCACATGGCCAGACCCATCTCCACACAGAGCACAGCAGGAGTGAGGGGTGTGGTACTGTGTGAATCAGAAATGTCAATACATACCCTCTATTCCTCATGACTGCCAAAGGTGGTGATTTGCACCTCGATACTTCTTTATGCACACATGCAGATCCAGTATCTGTAATACAGAGAGTAATATTCAGACCAAATCAAATCAAATTTATAGATGTATTCTACAAAAAGGAGAACTTTGGTGAACAGTACATAGAGCACAAACCTATATGAAAAATGTCTTGCCTCCACCCATTTTGAATTAAAATCACACCATGGAAATGTGACCCACTGACTGATTCTCAGCTCCCAGGATGTGGAAAGACTCATCCAGTTTCTAGTTTGCATGACAAACGGGACGCAGTCTAATTTAAAATATACCCACAGATAAGAGTAAAACTCAACTCATTGGTGTAACATTTTTCGTCAGTTCATTAAAACCAACCCACTGATTGTGTGGACGTCTGGAAAAATTAGTTTTATATTTGAAAACTGGTCATGTAAACAGCTGACCACCACCCCCAAAATTTGCATTAACTAGTCACAATGCCATTTACTTCTTTGTCTACATAGATCAGGGACTTGTTTTCATACAACCCATCAAGTTGTGACCACTGCTGTGCAGAACCTTCACGTGAAAAACCAGTCATGTAGAAACAGTGTCTCCATTACATAGCGTGTAATCCAGGGGTGGTAGCTGTGACAGCCTTCTTGGGTACCCCTTGGGTATTTTTGCTGAGATGTTTATGTGGATCTTCAGCTTACAAAAAAGGGCATCTTGTCCTACATCTACTGGAAGAAATTGCACTGCTACAGTTTGCAGGCTTGTTATCTAATCAGCTGCAGCACATTAAACAGCTTAAAAACATGCTTGCAAATATAATTTTGGACAGTTTAGATGCTGGTGTGGTCCTTACACTTCAATACCACTGCTAACTACACGCTTATAACATGTACATAGACTCATAGACCAACCAGAGGCTAAGAGAAAAAGAAACATCTGTGATGTCCTTTTAATATTAAAAACTATTTACAATAAATAAAAAATACTAATATTATTATTGCACTTATTGACTTTAAAAAGTAAATCACTCATTGTGATTCAGTTGGAATTTAAGAAATTTAAACCAAATTTAAAGGCTGGAATATTCAGTGTTGATTGGGCTGTAATAGGCATAGTGCTTGTGCATTAGAAAAAGAAGTAATAAGTCTGTAACAATATATGCCTTTCAGGTCCACTTACTAAGGACATGGACAAGTATTCTGCCTCTAAGGGGAACAAATTAAATTACTGACAATACATAATCTGCAGGCCACTTCTTTCTGATTTTCTGCTTCAAATCAGACTGTAAGTCATCCCATGCAGTGCAGCAATATGCATTTTGAAGTTACAGCACATAGCAATCGCAAGAATTATACTGTCCTTTATGCCATTTCCCATGGCTTCAAGAGGGGGCCAGGAGGTAGAGCTGGAGATTGTGGCCAGGCTAATCCAGGAGGTAAGGGGCTATAGGGTCAAATCCACCTGCTGGGGTGCCCATGAGGACTGTGGAGCACTTTAATCATGAAAAAGAGTGACTGCATTGTGAGGGAATCCAGTAAATCACACATGATAGGGTCATATATAAGTCAGTGGACCTGTGCTGCTCCATGGTAACACTTGCTGCAGTCTGGCCTTTACCGCTCCTGTAGGACAACAGACTCAATCAATCGTGACCATGCTTATTGCGGTGAGGGGAATGTGTTTGCCAAGCCTTGCGGAGCAAATAATAATTTAATTTATGCAAATATGACAAGTGTCGATGCAATTTAATTATTAAAATAAGAAATTGTTCTGCTGGTGAATCAACGGCATCTTACATCTCCTCTCTAATTATTAACAGCAGCGCTGTACTTGGATGAAACAGAACAGAAGTGGGAGAGAGCAGGATTCCTTGTGTCTGGCATACAATACGAGTCAAAAAGAGATAACACATTTTCCCACTCCAATGCAGTGTGGATTTCTGGGTCTCTGTTTCTTTCTCCCTGCCTGTCTGTCTCTGTTTTTCTCTCTCCATCTTCAACTCCTCTTGGTGCAAATGCAACCTGCAACCTTTTACAACTTGAGTCTTATTTTACTAGTTTGGGACATCATTTCTATTATAACCCCGGGAACGTAGTAACATTGCTAAGACAAATTGTTAACAAACCAAGAAACTCATTTTGAAGAGAAAACAAATTTGAATGGTAAAATTATTACCTAAAATGTCTGATGCAAACTTCTATAACAGTTTACAGACCTAATTTCTGGTAAGCTGACTTTTGGTTTGGTTTTCTTCAAAATTTGGTGGTAAAGATAATCCGGCTACTGGCAACTGCTTGTTTGCAGCCTGCCTGATTGTCTCATTGTCCAAAGTAGTTCAACGATAAAAATGAATGTTGCCTAAAGCAAAGTTATTTTTGCCAAAACCATGATTCTTGTCTGGCCCTAACCAAGTAGCATAATGATGAAAGAATATCTGTGCACAACAGCCAACTTTAAATCTTAAACCATTGTCTCAGCAGACAGGACAATTGAGACAGGATCTGGGGTCAGCAGGACGTGGTTATAGAGAAGGTTAGATTTCTTAATGAGGTTTAGGAAACAACGTTTCGAGCCACTGTTAATGTTATAAGTAAAGCCTGTGATTTGTGCTTGCTGTGAAAAAGGGTTGCCAGATCCTAATACTAAAAATTTTAAGCTGAGCTGAAGCGATTCAGACAGAGAGTGTATAGAGGCCACGATGTACAAAAGAATGTTTTTCGAACAGTAAAGCATGTAAACCTATTCTAGTATCCACCCCAAAAATTTTAACTTTTTAAACTTGCACAATAATAGGCCCACATGCTGCACAAGTAAAACTCCATAAATCCCAGTGTTGAAGGCAGAGCAGCCAGTGGACTGAAAATATGATCCATTTTCACCAAAATCATTGAACAAAGTTGGAAAGTTGTGTTTTGTACAGTAATCAGTAAGGCCCGGCCCCCAGAAACACTGATTTCTCTGGTGTTTTTTTTCCAAACTAATTAAAAAAAAACTAACAAAACGTCTCATTTGTGGTCTGAAGAACAGTAAATTCATCTAATTCAGGTTCAGAACTACAACACATTCTAATGCCAGGTGTGAACTGACGTACTTAGAGATATCCACTTGTGATCGTGTCACAAGACACCAGCCTGTCAGACAGGACTTCTGGTCTCTCTTCAGTCTCAGTAATTCTTTGGTAAGTACATTACAAAAAAGTAATTCTTTGGTAAGTACATTACAAAAATAAGACCCAATTTGTAATTAAAAAAAGGCAATTGACTGCTTTCCAGTGGACGAGTTTGCCTTTTCTGCTTATTTTCTGATGTGTTGCGTTCAGCGTCACCACCACACAGGAAAACAGCAAAAAGCAGGATGGAGGCTGAAGCCAGATGTTAGTGGGTGTGTGAAAGGTGCTTGAGTGTCTTGTTGTGTTGATTATAATCTATCTCCTATGGCTGAATTTTTGTATCACTGACACCAAAGCACCACGAAGGAGGTAGTGGGGCTGGGAGGAAGCGGGATAGAGAGTAAGAAGGGAGAGAGAGAAGAATAGTTTGATCACTGCATTAAGGATGAATGCTCAATAAGCTGAGAGACGACTCCTCCTTTCCCACTAATGCTTGTGAAACAACATGCATACTTTTACCGTATAAAAATAAAAATCCATTCTGGCTATTACTATAAGTAGCATTAGCGAGATTAATATGACAAACACATTTCCCAGCTGCACAATGGCACTTCATCTAGAAGAGTTGTTTAATGGAAGCTTTTGTTGGATGTGCTGATAAGGACTGTGTATCATAAAACAATCCCTCCCTCTGGTGAAAATATAAAAGTTTTATCAGATGTAATCATATTAAGTATCCTGCGAATGCAGTTCACACAACTACCTATTGCTCCACACTTAAAGACCTGAACTTTCTAGATGAATTGCTACCCCAGTTTTAACTGGTTAAAGTGAAGCGTTTGGATACTCTGTGCTCTGGTCAAACTACCTTTTTCTGCCTTTTTTCATTGGATTACTTTACTTGTCTTGTGGAGAATGTACCCCTACAGCATTTCCCAACAGCCTGCACCTCTGAAACCAATGCACCTTCTGTACTGATAATTGGCAGAAAGTGCTCAAGCACAGCCTCCTTGTCTTCTAGGTAGTTTATCATGGCACAGATAATTAGTCTGGAAGTAGAAGTGTTCTTTGGCACAAAGACACAAAACCCAGAATTACTCAATAAGATTGTCTAGCAATGACCACATAGTGGAATGTAGAGTAAATAAACAAACCCTAGCAGCCCCAAATAACAGTACTTGCTAATTTCATAATCATGTCACATGATATGATGTACACATATTAAAGGCTGTGGTATGGTTCATACGAAGTGCTTGTTGCATCGCTGAACACAGTATGAAACCAACCCCTTTTATATGTTTCTGACTGGGGAGCTGTGTCCCTAGAAGTTCTATCGAGCAATAATTTTACAAGTGTGTTTGGCTAGGTGAAAAGAGTTGATAAAGTAGACAAGATCTGAACTGGTTTTGAAAGTGTGCCATGTTATCCCCATATGTTTGATTCATCATGTCTTACCTCTTCTGTTTGTTTGAAGCGCACTGAACCGTTGACTGTCGTAACAAAGCTCTAATACTGGTGGTCTTCTCATATATACTACTCTTTCTAACTTCATAGGACCACTTACTAAGTGCTGGTTCAGATGTCATATCACCTGACTCATCAACAGGATTAACCTGCACATGAGGTTCACCAGTGAACACAAACAGGACTGTAAGTCATTTCTAGAGATCTCACAGCACCCATTGAGAAGAGGTCATCGACCAGGAGTCAGTGGATGAAAAACATTCACATCGGATGCCAAAGATAATCCCAGAGGTGTGATTTCCCCCATACTATGTACATGTATGTGATTCCGCATATGGGATCAAGCACCTTGAGGCCAATTGTGATTTGTGATAAATAAAACTGACTTGACTTGGGATTGTACCATTATAATGCTAAAAGACACCTCCCATTCAGAGAGAAAACAAAAAGACAGACAGTATATTTAACTATAATACTACTTGTCTCCGTT